GCGACAGTGGAAACAGGAAGTAGGTGTTCAATCTGTAACTGGTGGGTTGCCAGTTYGAATCCTCGCTCCATTCATTACRGCGGTTGTGTCCWTGTGCAAGAAAMTTCCCCCGCCTTGCCCGCTGGTGGTGGTCAGAGGGTCCGGTGGTGTCASTGMATGGCAGTCTCACCTCTGTCAGTGTGCTCCAGAGCAGCTGGGGCTACAKTGTAGCTTACCACCTTYAGTGTGTGAATGACTAATGTTAAACACTCTGGAGTCCTTGGCCTTGATAAAGTGCTWTATAAGTTCAGGCCATTTATTATTTACCAAGATGATGGTAAGAGGTGGTGGGGTTGTAACTCAAAGTGACCGTTAAAGAAAATGATTTATTAATTTTTTCAGTGTAATGTGTATTTTGTGGGGGAGACATATTTTCAGAGCATTGGCTTGAATTACACTTGCATTAAATGCAATTTACATTTTCACTTTTTTTCATTCACATGCATAACAAAATCAAAACTGCAAAGAATTTTAAATAAAAAATTAAAATTTTAGTTTAAAAAAATCTAGGGCTGTACAATATCAGGAAAACCTGTGATGTCTGATAACAGTGCTTAATAATGTGATGATGTGACTTGCAATAAATGAACAAAATCTTAAGTAYGTAGTGTTGATGTTTTCCTGCTTTGGAGTTTAGAGCAAAAAAAACCCCAACAACAACAACACATCAATTCCATTCCAACATGACGGTTTTATTTAAAAAATGCAACTAAACCCAGTTGTATAAGCAGTGAAACAACAAACTGCATGTAATAACATTTATTAATGACTTTATGAATAGCGTGGCCCCTTGATGGCCCCTCACTGCACCGGCTGCAGCCGCTCTTTGTTTGAACAATAAAACTTTTGGGGATTTTGACTTGAAGCTGATCTGTCCTGTCGATCTGATAACTGTCATCAGGTTTTTATTTCAGCTGAAGATGAATGTCGCTTGTCTTTTGAAGGAAGAACAGGGGATGATTTGTAGTTTAAAATCCCAGATACATGCAATAAATCTAAATTAATGGAATGCTTGACTTGTTTGACTAAAATGATCTACGACTCAGTATATTGTACCGTGTGCACAGTTATTATGATGGTGTGAAATGGTTTACGGCTTGTTATACTTTTCACACATACAGCTCGCAGTCATCGTTGTGTTTATGTCCAGAACCAGCAGAAAGATTAAGGTATTTTTACACAAACATGACAGTTATGGTTTCATCACTCATTGTCCTGTAACCTCTTTCCTGTATTTACCTTTTAGAKTTTTACCTACAACTCCAGTCACTGAAACAATCAGGTTATCTGACACCATTAAACACTAAAGTTACACTTGCACATCAAAGGTCAGTGTCAGGTAAAGACAAATTTTGGACATCTGTGGTCAGTTTTGCCAAATTTTACAACTTAAGCCTGTTTTTCCTTCTGTTTCTTGTTTTAAATTTTTGGTCATTTGGAAACAAAAGAAGACTAAAGGGATATTTTGGCATAGCAGAAGCAATAAACTTGATGTCATTTAGTAAATGATCAAAGGTTTGCCGCCGTAGTTCAACTGTCCCCAGAGGAAGTCCTGCTTAGTGTTTAACCTTATAACTACAAGTGAAGTTGTAATTTAAGAAACGTGGCCTTGTAAAGGAGTGTCTTATAAAAAMTTTTGACTTATTCCTTGAAGTTTAGTAATAAATTGCCAGAGGATTGTTAAATCACTTGTTCTGTTTGAATTGAGGACAACCTCACAGTGTTTTGTCCTTCCTGTRAGTTTGTTCTCATACATTGTGTTCCTGCTGCCCTTTTTAGGATGACGGCTGCCTTTGATAGTGAGAATGCTTCACAAGCATTCACACTATTGACATCATTTTTTACTTCCATAAGTTTTTCAGCACCTATCTCATTCCGCTATTTTGTGCTATTTCAAAAAATTATATATCAAAACGCTGAGCTCCTTCAGGACATTCTGGCTATGACTTTTTGTATTTTAGTTATTTATAGAGTATTTTTTTGCTATTTTACTTTTTTGGCCACACTTTTTCCATTAAAATTTAATGGAGCTGTTTTCAATATCGCTTAACCCCCTCAAAATGTTTAAAAATATTTACTACAATTTATACATTTAGTTCTGGTTCTGCTCTTTTTAACTTTTTTGTGCTAATTTTAGCTTCTTTTTTCTAGTTTCAACTTTTTTCTGCTATTTCAGCTAAAATTCTACTCCTTTCTGCTATTCTTCTGCTAATTTTTCCGTTTTTGGGCTTCTTTCTGAAAACTTCATCTGTTTGCTGCAAGTTTAGTTATGGCTGATCCGTTAATAGCTAAAGTTATTTTTTTCAATTGTTATGGAAATATTTATTTAACAGAGACAAAAAATATGTGGTCCAAGTATGAAGGTACTCCGTGGGATGGTCAGCTGAATTTTATTGCAACAATCGTTTTATTCACGTGTTACTGTCTTGGTAATATTTCCACAACACAATCTAATTTCATATTTAGGTGGTCATTTTAGGTGTTTTCTGCTTAATTCAGCAAACGTGCTCCTGCTTTTTTGTGCACATTTCTGAATTTTTAGCTATGTTTTAGCTGTTTTACTGTCCATTTTGGGTGTTTTTGCTGTTTTACAACAAATTGTCACTTTCTGTACATTTATTTTTTATTTTTGACTAATTTGACATTTTTTTACACTGCTATCGCTGTCTGTGTGTACATTTAACTTGTTTCTGCTAACTTTAGCTGCTTATTAGAGTCTTTTTCTGCTATTTCAGCTATAATTCTGCTCTTTCCATATATTTTTCTGCTCAGTTCTACTTTTTGTACATTTTTTCTGCTTCTTAAAGGTAATTGAAGCTTTATATACTCCTAGAATTCTGCTAATTTCAGCAGCAATCTGCAACTTCGGCCACTGTTTAGCTGTTTGTTGCTAAATTCAGCTTTTTCAAGCTAAATACCCATTTTAGTGTCCTATTAAGCTTTTCTTACAATATACTTCAGAAAACAAGTGCTCCTTCTACTTCTTTTTGCTAATTTCAGCTACATTTCAGCTGTTTTAATTCACATTTAGGCTATTGCAGCTGTTTTACAGCAAATTGCCACTTTAAGTTCTTTATTTTCTGCTAATTTGAAAATTTTTACAGCCCTTTCACCATCTGTGTGGTAATTTCAACTTGCCTTTGCTACTTTTAGCTAGCTCTTTTGCTAATTTTAGCTACTTTAAACCTTGTTTAGCATGTTTCAKCTGCTTATCTACTAATATTATCTATTAAAAATGTCTTTTATTTCAGATATAATTCTGCTATTCTTCTGCTAATGCTTCTTTTGCATTTGGACTTGTGTTAGACTTCAGCTTCCAGCTTAAGTTTTTAGCAAAATTGATTCACACTAGGATTTTTGCAGGAAATACATTTTCTCTAATGGCTATCATAAAGAAAATTCTGATTGTATGGTAATTCAGATCATCTTGTCTCATAAACCTGAGTCTACAACCAAATTGAGTAAACATCCTGTTATTTGTCCTCCTTTCTTCTAACGAGACAAGATGTTTGTGGTGACTTGCCCCAGTTAGAAGTATGAAAATGCCGTGGAGCCATCTGCGGCAGAGACCTATTTGAATTTCATACGTGTCGAGCTCCTCTTGATGCCTCAACATGAAAGCCTCACGTCTCTTCTCAGCCACGACCGCTGGCCTGGTGAAATAGACTCATTGAGCTGCGMGGTACAAAGAGACACTGCAGCACCTAACAATGACTAAATGTATCAGACATCAGGCTGCCTCGGCATAAAATACAACTAAAGTTGAGACCAGAATAAATAGAAACTCTGTCTGCACAGGCCGGTGGAAAGATCTCTGTGGGAGGTGGAGAAGGATTTCTGTAGTTTTATTTTTATAACTGAGATGGTGACAAAGATTTATCTGATGGGAGAAACCAACATCCAGAATAATTATTGAGAATAATAAGCTGATGGTCCAGGGTCACAAAGATTGTCTCATTTCCATATAAAGAAACAACAATAAATAAATAAATAAATAAATAAATAAAAATCTAGTTTTAGAAAGAAAACACAATGAAACCAACAATAATTCTTATCACAAGTGTTAATTTCTTTAGAGTATTAATTCAAGGATGGTTTATATGAGTTTTTCATTGGCTGGTATAAAGCACCCATTTAAAATTGTTGGTCAATATCTATATTTCATCAACATTACAATAATTGCAATACTTAAATAAATATCTACCGGTATGTATAACAACCATTAAGTGTGCTTACACTACACCAAAAAAACTACACAAAAAAATTTAATTGTGGACTACAATTACAATAATATAGTTGTAGCAGTTGCTTAAGCATATTAATTTCCCTACTTGGAAATTTATTAATTATGTATAAATATATTTTTAGATATTAAGTGTCCAATATTGTCTAATTAAAATTGTTTTGCCAATTAACTGGTCTGTTTCTAATAGGACAAACTGCAGATACTTTTTAAATTTTACCTCATGTAAAACTTTTACATTTTTGTCAAGCAGAATTTGTAATAAATATTTTAAGACTTTACACAAAATTTGATGTATCATCTTAAAGGGGCAGTTCAGATCTTTTGAAGTGGAACAACATAAATAAACTATTATTGTTATCATGTTACACATTGTCTCTTTTAACAATCTAACATCTAACCTGAGCAGGGTCAGGTTTAAAGGTTTGTGAAAATGTATAAAATGATCAGTAAATATTGAGATTGGAGGTGTTTTAAATCGGYAGCGATGCAGTTTGATCTTAGCGCTGATGATTCCAGCCGTTAGCTTCCCAGTCCATCAGTTTCAATATATTATGCACTATGCAGGACTATTTTGATTTGTATTTTAAATAATTAAAAAATAAGAATAATAACTAATCACAGCTAAAATCCCTTCTTTAAAATTGTGACAAGTTTAAACCTGAATCAAAGCAGGTTTAGGTTTGCTCTGAAATGACTGATCCTTGTTTTGTGACAGAGACGGTGTCCTCTGGGCTGCAGCCAGGTGTGGTCGGTGGGCCGCTGCGATGGACACGCAGGTTGATGCAGGAGGAGAACTCAGACAACCAGAGCCTGGATGAACCTCGAGCAGGTGAGTCACTCTTCTCCTGGCTCGATGTCGTCTGATCCCCCGTGACACATCAGCTCCCCTCCGCAGCCRTCTGATTTATAGATGGATGATATGAATCATGCCGCTTCGTCTATTATTGGTCTGTTTAATGATGCTTTACATATTTTAACATCTGAAAAACTAAACCGGCATTTGTATTTTACAAATGAACTTTTTGTGACTCTTGAGTAACAAAATCAGTGTAGTTGTTGTAACTGTTTAGCTAAAATTATCAGTTCCAAATCAGTAATTCTTTATAATTTAGTTCTGATAAAAATCTAGCCTTTCAGTATTTTTTAATTTGTCAGGTTTAAAATGGATTTAAATAAATATTTTTTTCTTCCCTAATTTACACAGAATTCTTCTAAACAGTGAAACGAAAACAGGATTTTGGTTGTTCTGTTAAGAATTAAAAATAAACATATGTATGTAGTTGTAGTTGAAGGTTCTACCAGTGGTTCTTGACATGTTCTCTTGTGACCTCACTGTTGTGCACATGTTGTGTCTAACAATAGTGAACAAAGTTTCAATAGGAAACAAATCTATAAAAGGTCTAAGGTCTCACATATTTACTTAAATGCGAGAGAACATCGGGTTAAGAGAGCTGTCCTAGATTCCTTTAAGTTGATTGGAACATTTCTGTATTCCTTAAAGGGACAGTTCAAGTCTTTTAATGTGTGGTCCTTTCTTACCTGCTATAGATGACTCTTTGATTCAGAGCTAATCTAAATTTATTTTTATGGAGGAGCTTTCTACAGGTCAGATGTAAATTGTTATTTTATTATTATTATTATTTTAACAGAACTGCACCTTTAAAAAAACTTAATTGTGCTTTGAAAGGGTGGGTATTATGTATTTTCTAGGCACATAGTTCAGTTCTATACCACAATCAAGTAACTATGTTGTATACAGAATTTTCAACTGCATCAAAACAACTTGAAATTGRCCTCTGTCTTTTTTAAGAACCTCCCACCATTTCTGACATTCCCACTTCAGCACATTTTTACTACAATGCTTCAGGGGAGGGGAGCTCGGCTAGGGACTGAGATCCAGGGAGGATCTTTGTACAAATAGGCGGAGCTTTGTACAAGCAGCGTTTATGCAGCTCCACATGACTACCACAGGAGATTTGAGGATTTCTGAAACATGCATGAATGAGTCCAAGCAACACTCTGGTATGTTTTTAATGAGGGAATGGCATTACAACATGATATAAAGCTCAAAAAAGTTGGTTTTGCATAATATTCCCCCCTTTAAGAATCCAAACATATGGCACCCCCTCCCAACAGATCTGACTATAGATCCAGTACATATTTCTGATGAAACCAGACAGACAACCAACAGTTTAATGAAGGGAAGCAGAGTTTGAGCATGAGCTCAGACACAGTGATGGCAGTATATTATTCAACTGATATTTTTCACTGAATGGTTTAGAGTGAAAATAAAAACATAGAAGAGCAGACATCTTTGCTTGTGTGAAGCTCATGCTGTAAAACATTAAGCAGAGAAAAATCAAAAGAAGCTACCAAAGTAAAAATGAGAAAATCTGTAAGATGATCTAATTTTACCGGATGCTCAATTACTTTCTTTCTTCCTATGTTCTTGTGCACTCAGAATAGTTCGGCAGGATTCAAATTGCTCCTAATAAAATCATGACTGAGCTGTGCAGCTCTCACCGACCCCTGCTCCTCTGGTTCCCAGGCTGATTAGGAAGCAGGCTGACACAAGCTGCATTCATCACAGCTGACAGTTTTATTATTAAAAATGTAGATGGAGGAGAAAATCTCTTATCGTTGTGTGAGCTGAATAGCACGGATGAAATAAAAGCGTGGCAGAAAGTAAAATCTGTTGCTTTATTAACAGAATGTAATTTCATATTCATATCATTTGCTTTTAGGCCATGGTTGTTATAATATTAGCCTGTCAGTCACAACGCTGAATTCTATGCAAACTGCACAGGTATTGTTGAAGGCTGACAACACGATGCAGGGCTTATTCTTACAGTTACCCATGCAAATCAAGCTGTGCTAAAAATAAACTCTGCAAATGGTTTGCTCAGATCCCTCTTCACCTTAATCCCACCGCCTACTGAAGGTGTGAAACCTGAGAAAATATGCACGTGGTAAATAAAGTCTATCTGCGTCACAGTAGATGGAGTGAAGCATTCTTCTGTCATGACTTCATCTGCATGCAGGTGCGTTTACAAAATACACATTAAAAGACTTGGCAGCACTTTTAGGGAGTYGTTCACAGGTTCAGACTTTGTTTTATCAGAGATTATTCAGGTTTTATTATTCAGAAACACATTATTGTTTTTATACTGTGCCACTGAAGCAGCTCCTGTCACCGTCTGTCAGAAACTCTTTGTTTCAGCTTGTTTCTTTAAAGCAGAGGTCTTGAACCCTGCTCCTCTTGACCCACTGTCCTGCATGTTTTAGATGTTTCTCTGCTTCAAAACACCTGACTGAAATTAATGAGGGATTGACAGGCTTCTCTTAAACTTGATGACATTCTGAGTAGGTACTTGAATCAGGTCTGCTTTAAATGGATACTTCAGATCTTTTGAAGTGAGATTCTGTGGAAAGGTAAAGAACTACGGAGCCCGCGAGGGGACATGGGCGGATTTTTTTCTTTTCTGTTACCTCACAAATGTTTGCATTCCCTCGCAAAATTGTTTTGCGTTCCCACGCAAGTTTGTTTCGTATATGAACTGAATTAAATCAGACTTTTATTTTGAAATATCCGGTTACCAAAACAGGATGTGTCGCTACAAGTTCGTGAAATTGACATTGATGTTGCGTGGCTGCACTGTGTTAAAATATCGGCATATGACATACACTTCCATGCGTGGCTGTGTGATATATTCATTCTGAAGCCGAATTAAAGTAGTAGGCTAACTCGCTAATGGTGAACATGTGAGTTTGTTAATAAACCGGCAGGCACAACAGTGTTAAATGATTTTTGCGAGGTAAAGCAATACTTTTGCGTAGGAACGCAAAAAAAAAAAATCCTGCATGTCCTCTCGCGGGCTCCGTAAAGAACAACTTACCTTTCTTGTCAATTTGGAGAAAAAAATAATAATTTTGATTGGTTCCTGAGCTAATTTGCTGAAATCAACTCCAGTCTCAAGTTTTCTCAGCTGTTCATGCAAATGTTATTTTACACACTTTGACAGACCCTTCACATTTGCATTACACAGTTATTCATGCAGTATGGTATTTCTTTAAGGTCATGACTCAGACTGCACTGGAAGTGCTACAGCTAGCTGCTGCTATTTGCATTTGTAAATAACCACAGAATAATCTGTAAATAACTGTTCAATCTGTAAACAGATGTTAGTTTTAATAAAGCATTAAGCAGTCTGCATACAACCCCCAGCCCAGCCATGACACTGAACATACATCAGAATACACCAAACAACACTTTATAATGGTTATGACACTGAAATATGTTTAACAGATATAAATATTGTGCTTGAGTTAGAGGCTTATATGAAATTTAACAGTGCCCCCTTGGATTATGGTAAGGAAAGTGTGATTTAAAAAAAATCCTAAAAACTTTGTTTCCATTGACCAGAAAATCTTCAGTCATTTTTTATTTTTAAATCCGATTTCCTGGTGTGAGTGCAGGGAGGAGAGGCTGAAACAAAAGATAAAGTGTAGGAAATGATATTTGGTGTTAATTATAAAACTGGTGGTAATAAAGAGGTGCGTGAACATGAACTCATTTGGGACAGCTGATATTGTCCCATCGCTGCCACATATCCTCCTCTGTGATATTACAGGAGAGGGTTTTTTTCCTGACCTTTGAATAAGAAGTAATGAGACTCTTTGTATCTCTCCATCATAGCTCCATTGGCTTTGTGCATCTATTTGTATTCTGCTTCTAGATAACACACTTAACCTTTATTGAGTTCCTKGTTGCCAACAGATCTCCCTCATTATCCCTTACAAAGACACAAGYTCAGTGCGGGTGGAAACTTCTTTGTGGTGATATACTGGAGCCAGGGAGGTGAACAAAAAGGCTGGACAGGTAGTTCTGGACAGAGCGGCGAGCACGGCTCCAGCCTCAGGTTTCTGCGCTCTCTTCCTCAGCAGGCCGTCTGACAGATTGTATAATCTGTGGTGAGATTAAAAACCCTTCCCCGGACCTTTGGGGATATTATCTCCGGGATTGCTCCACATCGTCCAGCCACAGACTCTCTTTCTCTCTTTTCATCCCTCCGCCGCTTTTAACAAGATGGAGACGGCGTGATCCGGCTTCAGCTGACAAGCCTCCAAGACCGCCGTCGCTAAGCAACTGAATGCTAAATTTCGAAACCCAGACAATTCTGTCTTTTAAGCATTAAAAGTGCAAAGCGATGAGCCAAAAATAGAGCAGCTGGGATTTTTATTTGTATTTTTTTGGAGGTCGGGGGTGGGGTTCAAGGAATCAAAACGATGCAAATGAAGCAAACGACTTGTTGTTTTTGAGGTTTATTATGATGTTTATTTTGGCAAGCCGCAGTCGGCTGAGAATAGTCTTTTTCCACCGACGTATTTTTGGGGGATTTTTTGAGCGTTGAGAGAATAGAAACTGGCAGAGAACCCAGATTGTCTTGAACCGTGTGCTTTTATTAGAACAACTTTGTAGTTGTTGAAAGTTTTGGGAAAATACAAAAAGATATTCTTGGATTTAATGTTTTCTTTTCTATTCTCTCAGTGAACAAAACATTTTTWAAGTTTTTGAAGTAAAAGGTTAGTCTTTTGAAGTTTTAATTGCTACTGATCAAAAATCTTTTGCTGAATTTGTCTTTATTTCTGACTCAAGCCTTTTATGAGTTTTGTTTTAATGAACAGGTGAAGATGACATGAAGTATTTTTGTCCATGTCTGTCCCAGCAGTGATGTTTCCACCGCTGCTGTCGGCTCATCAGTCCTGTATTCACATCACCTCAAAGGAAAAGGAATCAAAGAGCAAATGCATAATTGAATTTACATTACACACCTGGATGAAATATTTATTTATTTATTTATTTGATTCCTCATGAAAATTGCAGCTGAGGTGTTTGTGTGTGGATATGTTAATCTTTGTGTGGCAGTCAGCACCTTAGCGTGATACCAGGATGCCCTGCAGACTTTCAGAAGGATGAGATGATCTCGTACCACCTGCTGTCAGTCATTCAGCCTCACCCTGACGTCAGTGTTTGCCTTTGTGAAGGATCCATTTTGACACACAGTCAGACTTAAAATCTGCTGCAGAAATTTTATCTCAAATTAGAAAAATAATTTATTCTGATCTGCATCACATTTAAGCTAATTTTGTCTTACAAAGGGGTCATATTATGACTAGTTTTTAATATTCAGTCTCACAGTGCCTGCGCTCCAGCTAGCATCAACACACTGTTCTTAAATTCTCAGCCATAGATTTATCCTTTAGGTGTAACCTTGTCAGGGACCATGAGATGAATCTGCACAGGTTTTTAAAAACGCTCCACCACAGATACAGATGCTTTATGATCAGCTGACCTGTTTAAACCTCCCGTCACAATTACTTTGTAGTTTTTTTGTAGGCTTCATAAATCCTCAAGCTGCAAAAAGCAGACTCTGAGGTTTCAGTTCTGTGTGTGTTTTGTTTTTAGAGGCTGACTTTAAAAGATGTTGATTTTAAAATCTGTTTTTGAACAACCATCATAAATAATGCATTCTTTATTATATGGTGCATTTATTTTTGAGTGGAAAGTCCCAGATTTAATCCTCTGGTAGATTAAAAAATACAAGGAAAAACAATCGTATGACAGATAAAACACTAGATGACGCACTGGTAGATTATTATTAGCTCATATAAGGTAATTCAGTTAATTCATACAAAAACAGTAGAAAAATGGGCCTTTCCTCTTCTGAGTTACCATGAATGCTGCATGAAGGCTGGATTTATACTACTTTAAATCAACAAATTAATGTACTTTTCACCTGCAAACCTAAGCCACTTACCTAATGAAATATATTCATTAAATATATTGAACATGAAACAAGAGACAAAGTTTATTTTATTTTATTTTTGAGTTGATTGAGTTCAATTAGCTATCAACCTCATTTTTTGCCACCAAGAACTGATTCATTATCTGTCAGTCCCCATGTATAGAAAGGACCTTACATCCTAAACTAAACTAAAATAAAGTGAAAATAAAAAAACTCATTATTAGTCACAATTTATTACTATTTCTTTTATTTTTATTTTTATTAATTTTTTATTAATGGTACTTGATTATTTAGACCTGGTAAGGAGTGCATGTCTAGGTGTACCCTGTACAGATGTTGGTACACTAAGTTTGAAGTTGCGTCTGAGTCAGTGTTGGGTCTTGAAGTTTCCATAATTCCCACATCCTTCCCTTATACCTTCTCTCTCTGGGCTTGCTCCTATATTAGCATTCCAATAAATGTCCATAAAAGTCTTGTTTCAGCAGCCCATTTCTCATCAGAATGTCCTGGTTCAGCATCCGATGTAGACATTGCTAATCCGGGCAGCGTCCGAGCAACTGAGATTGCTTGGAAGTTTTGATGGGCTGTTTAAAAATGAGTCACTGCGTTTTGTTTTTCTGATTTGCTGTTTTAGTCCACATGTTGAAATGTTCTTGGGAAACACACTGAACCCCACTTTATTTCACTGGCTGTGTAAACTAAGAAGTGCTTTATGGCTGTCCGTTTGAACATGGCTTGTAAAACTGTACAAGTGTTTCAAGTGTTCAACAAGACAGGAAAAGTACCATCAAATACAGTCCATTTATCATTAATTGTACCTTAGAGTGGAGCTCTTAACATTTTGTGTTGTTTTTGTACTTTCACGAATCACTAAAAAAACAAAAACAATCATTTGGTTATAGATTATTTTCATTTTGAGACCTTAAAAGCACTCATCACTTCCACTCTGTACTTTTAAGTTTTGCATGTTGTGCACTCAAGAATCATTTAATCAGACTGAAGGGAAATTTTTCATTTTGAAATATATGTATATATTTTCAATTATACAAGCAATACAAATCCCAAATGTTAATCCACTTCAGATGTCTCTGTTTTAAGAGCTGCAAATCAGTTTAATAAATCATAGTCGTGCCTTTGTTCTGCCATGGAGGAGGTCCTTCTTGTTCAGAGTAACGGTACGAGCAGCGATCGCTGTCAGTTTATCACCACTGACTGCAACTAAATCTGCAGCGGTACATGAAATCACCCCACAACACAAAGTACTCCAGCTTGTGTGGGAGTGAAGCAACATGTGAGTTTCTGTAGAGACCATAATGCACACAGAGTGGGATCAGAGGTTGCTAACAGCATATATCGTGATTCTGGCAGTAAAAGTTACAGAGAGCAGGGGCGGAGCCAGGGGGTGGCCAGGGGTGGCCATGGCCACCACAGACAAATTTTTGGCCACCCCATTGGCCACCCTGCTGTACACACCCCTTACACAGTGAAACAACCTTTAGGGGTGTAGTAATCCTCCTGAACTGTTGGTGGCAGTGTTTAACAGTTTGAAACATTACCAAGCTCTATCACTGAGGAAGAGTAATGACAAGGAAGTGATGGTTTTATTTATATACAGAACATATGCCTATGTAATCTGATTTATTGTGTCAACTTTTGGACTTATGGTGACAAATGTATTTTTTTTGTTGTTGTTTTTGTTTTTTTGTTTTTTTGTCATTTTATGTTATGATGGCTGCATGGTGCTCTGTCCCTTTTGGTTCTGAGTAGGCCTATCACTAAATCAGCAAAAGTGAAACACCCCTCTAAATTCACTGTTGGTGGTTATCAATATTGCACCTGTTCATTGGGTAAAATTATTAATATTAATTTTAACTTTTTAGCTTCCATCTGAATGACAAAACGCATAAATGCAAACTTTTGAGTCAACCATTTATTGCAGTTTATGCAGTTGTTGTGATATGCATATTGCACAGGCTGTTATCACGATGACGATAAATTTTCGATATACGTATTGTGCAGTCCTAGTTCTGATGCCCATGTTTGTAAGGTAGTCACTGCCTGTACTGTATAGGGACATAAGGAAATGAACAAAACACAAAGAAGAAGCAGAAGCTTTTAAGTAAAAAATGATATAATTTTCCTGACCACCCCTGTGTGAGTAGTGGTCCCAGTCTGGCTCCACCACTGACGGAGAGGCATGATGTTTGGTCCAAACGCTCCTGAGTTTGGAGAAAATTGTGAAGTTTTAATTTCCAGATTGTTTGTTTTGGGGAGCTGCAGATGTACAGTCGTCTTCAGCCTTGTTGTTTGGTGGTGGGCTCGCTTTCAGCAGAGGAGTTTCTGCAAAGCCCACTCTTGCTCAGCAACCTTGAGTAAACCAGCCTGTGCCCCCTCCCTCCTCGTTTGCTCTCTCAGTCCTCTCTCCTGAGGGTTTGTAAGGAAAAATAAATATTTTTAGACATTGCTGTCCAAAGCTGCTGTCACTTCTACTTTTTCCCCTTATTTTTATAAACCCTTACCATGGGAAAAACATTTTAACCTCCCCCTTTCTCACTATTGATGTAGTCGCCTAGCCTTTGGCTTCCTACTGCCGCCCATCACAATAAATAAATAAATAAATAAATTAAATAAATAAATAAATAAATAAAGGAAAAGGGGGAAAACAGTTGCCCCATGGGAGAAGGTCACCATAGCAACTAACTTTACCAGAGCAGCCCCTCAAAGCGTCCATCTGAAGCCGGTTTTAGAGGTCCTGCGATTTCACCGACAGCAGAACCTGAGTTTATGTGTTGGTGCAGAGAGGAGGCTGGAAGGCCTCCAGGACAGGAGAAAAAAAGAAAAAAACATTGAAGGTGATAGAAATGAAGCCACAGAGAGAGGCACAGATGTCCAACAGCTGATGGCCTCGACACACAGAGTGCAGCTTCTCATTTGGGCCGTGTCCTTTCTGAACAGGATGACAAAGTTTACTTGCTAAGCCCTGATGGATCATTGGGACCGAGCCCTGGCATGCAACAACAGCTGGCACACARCCGATCTTTCTTTTAGTCTTAAAGCAGAGACACAGCTACTCTCCAGAAACTCATTTTAAGTCTTTAAGTCTTAAAAAAATGATCCTCAAGAAGTATTTACATTTTCCATCTGACCCTGGCCAAATTAAAGTCCTCTCCTCGGGACCATATGGCCCCCTGCTCTCATTCTGTACGACTGCAGTGTCAAAGAGCAGATCTCATATCCCTGATCACAAGGGACCCACTCCTAATCCACGCAGGCTCCGTGCAGCTCCACACTCTGCTTATTGTGTGCACGTCCACCTATTGTTGTCTCACACAGCAGAGCAGCTATTAATAGCACCGGTCTCAGCTGTATTTTAAAATTCACCCAGCTTGGCTCAGAGTTGTGAATTGGAGCTGTGCCACGCTCTCGAGGCTGTCTTTTGCAATGGCAAGAAAACGGAGGGCAGCCAAGGTGTCGCAATGCTAGTTTTTGTCTGAGTTTTGCACTCAAAGGAGGACAGGAAGCAGCTGCCGGTTCCAACACTTCCTGTGTCGTTCTTTAATGTAAAATAAATGCTTCGTTGCATCATTGAGGCACCCTTGTACAGATTTCAAATATGATGAAATAAAACAAAAATGGCAAAAATATTTCTCTCTTCATTTGCTGGTTTATAAACCCAGTGGTCAGAAAGCAAATGAAATAAATTTGCAAACATTTTAAATGAAGCAAAGTGTTTATCATGAAATTCATTTCCCTCACAGCCATCCACGAGTTTCCAGAGGACATTTTCACCAAGGAGCAGAGGAAACATGGAGCTGTACTTCTGCACGCTCTCTGTGTGAGTCTTTCTCATTTACTTGCGTCAGCACAGCATACACTAACACACCTCACACAATGGTTCAGTTAAAGGCTGATCGTATACGTCGTCTTTACTTTGCTCATCTGCACGTTCCAGGCCATCTACATGTTCTACGCTCTGGCGATCGTCTGTGACGACTACTTCGTTCCTTCGCTGGAGAAAATATCTGAGGTGAAGCCCAAACCTATTCTTTAACAGTTCATTTTAATTTTATCTTATATTCTGAGCTCTTGTCTTGTTTTTGAATGTTTCAGAACCTGCAGCTCAGTGAGGATGTGGCTGGAGCGACGTTTATGGCTGCAGGAAGCTCCGCCCCTGAGCTTTTTACCTCTCTAATCGGTTCGTAGCTCAGCAGGAAGTAACAGCTGTGATGGTTTCAAGACAGCTTGCTCAGAGAAAATCTGAAGTTAGACTCCCAGAGTTGTGCAGGTGCCAGAATCATCCAGGAGATGTCAGCAGAGAAAAATGAAGGCAGACAGAAGATATTTTGAAGAGGCATTGAAAAAAATAAAAAAACATCAAGCTTTTGTATCATTTAAGAAAAAGGTTTTTTTCTCATGTTATAGACTCATAAAAATGGTAAATCCTGGGTTCAGAACCATCGGTCAATGTTGAGTTTACTGTGAAAAAAATGTATAGATTTATTGTAGTCAGGACACACTGTGGCAGACCAAGAGTTAAAATCAAACTTGTCTTCAGGCGTCTTCATCACTAAAGGTGATGTTGGAGTCGGCACAATCGTGGGCTCGGCTGTCTTCAACATCCTGGTCATCATCGGGCTGAGTGGGATCTTTGCAGGACAGGTAGGACCTACATCAGTACCTTGTTGTGTCTGATATCTGGGCTCATTTCTTGATGTTCCATTTCTATTGTTCAGACAAAATATTGATTATTTACTGCTAGAAACAGACTATAGATCCATTTGATTTTGTTTTTGATCTTTACACTGTTAATGTGTTTTTCTTTGATGTCAAAGTTTCTGTTAAAGAAAATTTATTGAACAAATTAGGTTTGAACAAGGAAGTGTTGCCACCAGCAGCTATAAAAGGCAGGTGATGATGTATTTGCCTTTGTGTGCGCTTGCTGGTCTGTTAGTAAAATATTTCATGAAGCACTGGAGAGATTTCCATTAAACCAGTGCTGGGCAGTGTGTGTTCAGCGGTGYTGCACTGAAAAGCATCCCACATCCATTGTATTTTCTTTTTTTGTTTGTTTTTTTTTTATTATTGTTGGATGCTGTTTATTTATTTTTTATTAGGAGGACTGCAGATGTAAACTAGAATGCCATAACAAACAAAAGGCCATAATGTACATATACTGAGCTAAAGTTTGGTGTGGTAGTAGCTGAGAGTCATCCCCACATGTACTCTGAACACTCACAGATTATGTGACTTCTATTTTTAAAATCTTGTCGTGAAAGGAAAGGCAGCAGTTATGTGTCATTTTTTTACTTTTATTTCTTTTTGTTTTAGTCCTAACAGACAGTTGAACACTGTTTCTGCCTCCACAGACGGTGGTTCTGACGTGGTGGTCTCTTTTTAGAGATTCATGTTTCTACATCCTGTCTGTACTGGCGCTCATCGTGGTGAGATGCTCATTTAGATGTCCTAATCCTTTTTATTTTTATTTTTCATTGTTTGCTTTTATTTAGAAATATATTTTAAAGAATCTATTTTGCTCTCTGTTTAGGTTATCTATGATGCCAGAGTTGTTTGGTGAGTTCTGTGTGTCAATTTGATCTGATTTTCTAACTGYTCAGCTATTTTATTCTTTAAAAAAATTTTTTTTTGTTTGTGTCCCAGTTGCTCAAAGTTTCCTCTGAACAGTGTCGCAACCTCTTCCTGTAGTGACAGTTATTACAGTCAYGGCACTGATTGTGTCGACAGCTTCCAGTCAGAGAGTCGAAGGGGAACCTGTTGAATCGATTGGGTTTGTGGTTTATCCCCAACATCAGAAAACRTATTTGATGCCATCAAAGCTCATTTCAGAGTCAGCAGATGTGACGGGGGACACGATGGCTTTAAACACAGCTGTAAAATTGGTTTTGATTGCTTTTAATTTGTGTGTCAGCTTTGATGTGAAAATACTGGTGACATTYGCCGCACCATCAGTGACTCGCATCTTTTTGTGTGGCCGCTCTTTCATCTCAGTCACTTAGTGCTTTTGATGCATCTGAACCTTCGGTGGTGAATAGTTTCTGTTCTGTTAACTCAGTGCTTTGTTTTAAAGGCTTTTTTTGTTGTTGTTTTTAAAGTAGCTGTATTTACGCAGTGAAAGTCTTGTAGTAAAGGATTCTTGAGAGAGCAGGTTGTTTATTTAGACACACTGCTGTATTTCACCTCACCACTGTTACCCTGAACTCAGGTTGGCAGATTTGTGTTTCAGCTGGTTTTGCCAGAATCAGCCTCTAAATACCTGGAACATAAATTTTCACCCGTGCTCGGTGCTCATGTGGTGTTTCTGTCTGAGGAAGCAGAGAGGAAAGTTGCCATTGCAAAAGTTCTGCTTTGTGAGATGTGGTGTCTCAAGTCTCAGAATCTTATATTCAACCAAAAAAGTATTTTTGATTTTGTTTTGAGCCTGATAATTAAACAAATGTGCCGTTTGCTGTGCAGGTGGGAGTCTCTGCTCCTCATGGCCATGTATGGGATCTACATTTTAATCATGAAGTGAGATTTCCAACAATCTTCCTGTTTTTTTAAATTGTTGTTTTACGTAAGTGAACTGGAAGGACCAGGGTTCATGGAGGGATTTGTCTGGCTGCAGGTTCAACTCCCCGATTTCGGTGTTTGTGAAGCGTCAGGTTAGGAGCCGAGCGCGATGCTGCCGCCGATCAGAGGGAAGAGAAGAGAACAGGATGGGAGACGAGGCCGCACCTTGTAACACCTCACTGGTGCTTTTAAAYGCAGGTGGGCCAGTATTAAATAGGAATGATCATGTTTGTGTGTTCAAGTCCTGGTTCTGTCTGTAACTGTGTTCCACTGACACAGGGCAAGGCCACGGTCAGGAGCCTCCCCCCGTCATCATGGTAGATGAGCTACTCATCCTCAACCCCCACAAACTCTCCTTCTCAGAGGCAGGCCTGCGGATTATGATCACCCCCCACTTCTCGCCGCGCACCAGGCTCTCCATGGCAGGACGCATGGTCATCAGCGAGGTGTTTGATGCCCACCTCAGATGTCACAACACAACACAACACAACACAACACAAACTGATTTAAAAACTCATCCCTGTTCGTTGCAGAGGCAGAGGCTGATCAGGAGTTCCAAACACCAGCGGGATGGCGAGGCCGCTTCAGGGTCAAGAAAGTGTTCACTTAGTACCAGCCTGAAGAGGGCGGGCTCCTGTAGTCTGGAGAACGGAGGCGGGAGACCGGGAATAAGAGACGAGGAGTCTCGWAACAAACTGGGGGTCGAGGCGAGCCAGCCRGAGGAAGAGGARGAAGATGAAGATGGGAACTTTAGTCCGGTGCACATGCCAGGTGAGAATGACGAGCTACATGCTAAGTGCTAAGTGTTCTGTTCTTGTTTTCCTCTGACTGACCCTCCTGGGTGTGACAGGCAGCTGGTCTGCTCGGGTCAGGTGGGTGATCACCTGGCCTCTGGGCGTCCTGCTCTACTGCACTGTGCCTAACTGTGTGCWGCCACGCTGGCACCGCTGGTTCATGGTCACCTTTGTGGCCTCCACCCTGTGGATCGCTGTCTTCTCCTACCTCATGGTGTGGATGGTAAGATGTCTTATTATATAGCACAGAAAGGCTGTGTCTTATTCAGGGGCTTCATCCTTCATAGTCCGCATTTGTCGGCTGCTCACATCACTGCCCCGTGCCGAAGGCATCCAAATTCTTGTTCTTCTTCTCATATGATTTTTTTTATTTTGTTTTGTTTCTTTATTATTATTGTTTGAAATTAATTTAGGAGAAAAGGGGCAGAAATTATAAGATTTTTTTTCTTCTTTCTGCCTCCTTTCATCTCAAGTGGGATTTTTTTCTCTCTTTGTTGTGTATAAAATTTTATTTTTATTTTTAAATGAAATGAATAAATGAATTAAATAAAAAAGGCCCACGAAACCCCCAAAATAAAGGCTGCATCTGAGTATCCTTCCTGGTCGAGGATATCCCAGGATTCATTGCACCATCAGCAAACTAAACAGGGAAACAAAGACAGCTGATTTATTATTATTATATATATTTTTTAAAACCAAGTCAGCATAGTTCGGAAATGAATTGAAGTATTTGTTTTTAAATGTGTGTTTAGCAAATTGGCCGAAAAAAATTATGCTGCAGTGAGATGCAGCTACACTTACTGATACTGGAGCTAAACCCAAAATATTAATGTTTCTTATTTATTCACATGTAACGCTTTTAAGTGTGAAGTTATTCCTCCAGTGAAAAGATGTGAATACATATCCCAACACATTTTAAGTTTGAAGGCACGTGAAATACAACGTATCACCATGATAATGGTTAGTGTGTGGTCACGCAGACATACATCATCCTAAGATTAGACCGTCTCACTTCACAGCCATTTTACACAGCCTACGTGGACTGCCAAGTGTGTGGCCTATGTAGGCTGCAGCCCCTGAGAGACACAGCTGAAGTTACCATTATGTGAGATGAAAACAATTTGTGTAGAATGTAAATAATGTTACATGTAAGATTAAATGAAGCAGCTCTCTGCAGGTCACCATCATCAGCTTTACATTAGACATCCCTGACTACATCATGGGTATAACCTTCCTGGCAGCAGGAACCAGCGTACCAGACTGCATGGCTAGCCTGATTGTAGCTCGACAAGGTAAAAATAAAAGTCTGCTTCCTACTTACATCTCTAAATCTGTTTTTATTTTTTCCATCCCCATTCAGAGGTGCAGGGGTTTCATTGCAGCTCTTTTCTTTTCAGGCTTGGGGGACATGGCAGTGTCTAACTCTATAGGCAGCAACATCTTTGACATTCTGCTGGGGTTGGGTTTCCCCTGGGCTCTGCGGACCCTTGTGGTGGACCACGGATCTATAGTAGGCCTACACTTCTATCTCTAACCATTTCTTTYCACTTTACGTTTTATGGCTGATTGTGTTCAAATGTTAAAAAGTGTTTTTTTTTCCTTCTTGTAGATTTCCATAAATAATAAAGGACTTGTATATTCTGTCATCCTGCTGCTGGCATCAGTGTTTCTGACTGTAAGTAAATACAGAATATCAGGTTAATTACATATCTGTACGACATACGTTTAAGATAAGTTTACGTTTTTAAACTGAGCTTGAGGCATTTTGGATGGGGGGAAAGAGCAAAAAAAAAATAAAATAAAAAAACCAGAAACATCAAATGTTTCTTACATTTGGTCCTGACTCCAACCACTATTTCAAACAATAACAGTATTTTTTTTTACTTTATTTTAGAGCATGATTAGCTTATAATCATTCATTTAAGGAATGAGGCTTGTCAATTTTTTTCCCAGATGATGTTTAAATATTGACACACACTGTTAAATATTTGTTTGTGAAGGTTAGTCCTCCACTGWTCTCTGTTTTGTTCACAGGTGTTGAGTGTTCATCTGAACCACTGGAGRCTGGACCGCTGGCTGGGTCTGGGTCTGCTGTTTCTTTATGCTATTTTCCTTTTTTGCTCCATCCTTTTTGGACAGATGTAAAGGCCTTAAGGCCAAAAGTCCACCTCATCGGCTGACTCACCTGATAACTCCCTCTCTACCACACGTCTTCTTCCTTGAAGCCAAAAAGCAACAAAAAACAAGATTGTTGTCTTCATGTGAGATTTTCTGTGCACCTCTGTAGGTCTCATGGTGATGATGTCCACRAACACATGTATTTTAGGAGGTTATTGTCCTTTTGTACAGTGCTGTGATTGAGAAGTCTTTACGTTTCAAAAACACTGAAGCAATAGTTCTGTTCTTTGAAAGTGGGGTTCTGTAAAGGTTAGTTTTTTTAGACTAGCTCTTAGCTTAAATATAAACACTAAATCTTGGAATAGTTGCCTACGGYAGGTAAGATAGTAATTGTTCATAACCTTTTACAGGATCCCACAACCATAGATCTGAACTTTTTTTGTTTCTTTTACCAACAAAGCAGATTAATGCAGCGRGGTAATTAGGCCTTTAAAAGCAAAACTATAAAATAGTTTTTCTGTTTTGTCATTTTAAACCCAAAACTTGTAAATGTTTTACGCCAAATAATTTCTAAACAAAAAAAAAAGTTTTGTTTAGAATTATGAACAATTAACTGGGAATGTTTGATTTTAGGCCCTTTCTGCTAACATCGTTTTCAAATCAAAGTTCAAATTTTCTCACTAAATCTCCATGTTAGCTTACCGGMTAGCACGCTATTTGGGAATTAATCCTGTCAGTATTTCATTACAGCAGCCATTACCTCTAATTTTACTATTTATTTATCATTCTGAAGTGTGTCCAGCTGCAGCTGATTAAATTAACTAAAACTCACAATTCATCATCATTACTACAAGCACAAGTCATCTTTATTGAATAGACATTACTAACTAGAACATGGTGCTGAACAGACCGTCGGTGGAGTGTTTTTTATTTAAATAGCAGCACTAATCTAACAGCAGGTTTTGCACATTTGCTGATTAATGCGGATGTAAAATATCAACACAAACAAAATAAATACAGGAGTTTGCACGACTCATCAAAAGGCACAGGAAACAAAAACTACTGCTGTCATGTTTGGGACTACTTTTTCCAACAGATGTTTTGATTGTACACCCTCACTGATGTCTTCATCAGTGTGAAGATTAAAACACGTTTTATTGTAACAATATTTAGGTGATTCRGTTTAACGACTTCAAACCAGGAAGTACTCCTGGATGAAGATAATCAAGTATTTCTTTATTACATAGATTTACAGGTTGATAATATATTTTATGTTTATGTACGACAATCAATGTGATAAATGTTTGAATTTTTTACTTTACCTTTGATGGTACATGAAGTTAAAGACGCATTAAATGCAGATTAGAAACACATTTCTGTTTTAAGGTAAATAGTTCTGCGTTTACTACATTCATTTCCTTTAGTTAATGAGGAACAAAATGTTGAACAATTCGGGCACATACTAGTTTTTGTTTTATGAAGAAACCTAAAGTGTTTGGTATTTTTGAATATTAGATCTGTGAATTTTACATTTCATCAAAGGGATCCTGGGATTTATTTTTTGTTTCTTCCAGGTGGCCGTACATTTGTCTGTCTGATGATACTTTGTAATGTTTATAATTAACTTAGTTTTACAAGAATGAATGTCCTTTAGGCTTGTTCTGTGGTATTTTAACTTTTTTTTAAAGAATGATGTAAACTTTTTGTGAATTATTGTAACTAAATGAGCGCTTATTTGTAAATGTTCAGCGGACTATGAAAGCTTTAAGTCAGTTTGTCTTTCAGCATTTAGATTTTCTACGTCTTAATGTATTCACCGACATGCTTAACTTTATTTTATCAATAGAAACTGAAAATTTAATGAAAATGTGAACCAAAAAGGCCAAAAAACTGCTTTAAAAGCTACAGGATTCCTTCTTTATTCAAATTTGAGCTTAAAAAAATAATTTCTACTTTGATCTGGATGTTTAATTTAATTAGAGATGTGAGGAATGAAAGTAGTTAGTTTTTATTAATTTAATGTGCTATAAGTGTTTTTTATCCTTACCTGCAGCAGAAGTAGTCTTACCCTCCTTGTTTTTCCAGCAGACGACTCAGTGTGAACGTTTTTTCAGCTGTCAGGAAACTCTTAGAACCCTCCTGATCTAAATCTGGCAATATTAATAATAAATCCAAACAGCTGAAGTCCGTTCTCCAAATAATGTTTCATTTCTTCTGCTGTGATGTTGGGGCTAGAKGATATTTTAGAATAAATCTTACTGCTTTACAGATTGTATTGATTGACCCTTAGCAGACTGTTGTATCTTGAGTGCAATAAAAAAGTGCAATAACTGATATTTTTAAATCTTATTTCCTGTCAAAATGAAGAAAGACCAGGCAGAAAGAAATTAAAACTAAAATGAATAAACATTTTCTTTGCTCCATTTTATTTTTTTATTGCTCTGTTTAATGTTTAAAAACTATTTTTTGTTGAATATGGTCTAAAGCAGTGTCCCACTCCTGGTCCTCAAGGACCCCTATCCTTTATGTTTTGTTTCCGTTGTTCAGCAGCTCTTCAGAAGATTAAGGTGTGTCAAAGCAGGGAAACATCTAAAACATGCAGGGCAGGAGATATCTGATTTATTTACAAATGTTACAAAAAAAATACAACAGCAGATAGTGCTTAATATTTTATTTTCCTGAAAACTTTTTATACAACATTCCATTACAATCCAAAGATCCACCCAAATAAAATCCACCTACCATGTAAACCTATGATCTTTATTTAAATATCACTGATGTAACAAACAATTCTCTCCCAATTCAGAAACCGTAATATTAAACAATAATTACACCGTACTTGTAAAGAGACCAAGAAGCTGAACATTCTCATCTGAACGTGATCTTTTTGTAGACTTGACTCACCCACAGTGCAGTTCTTGGAAGAGAGGCTCAGCTGAGACCTGGATCACAGGATGAACTAGAAACCAACTTCCCCCTAAATCCCACAACGTCCCACAYATCAGGTACGCAAAATTACCGATGAATACAAAAACACAAATATTCTAGTGGCCACCGCCTCTAGAGAAAGCAGGAAGTTTAAAAACGTGAGCCAAGAAAAGAAACCGAGTGAYGCTCATGTAATGCTTTAAGTATTCATTAGTTGGCTATTGGAACTTGTTAGCATGGTTAGCATATATTACACCACTTCCAACAGCTTTAAAAAGCCAGCTCTGAGTGAGGACTATTCCTGAACACACATCATGCAGTTATCCAGGCGGATGCTGCAGCAGTTTGTCTACAGCCCATTTTAACCCTTTAAATACTGATTCTCTTTGAGGTAAAACTGTCTGCAGCTCAGTCAGACTTTTCCTTTAGCCACTGCATTAAAAAAGGACAAAAAAACAGCAGTCTCAGAATTCAGCTTTCACACATCTTTTCTACAATACAAAGCCACTTKTATCTGGAGTCACAGTCATTTCCTCTGAAGTCCAAAGGGACCGCTACATGTCCTCGTCTTTACAGCATCACACTCCAGCCTCTGTTCTGTTTTCCTTTGTGATCCAGTGACTATCGTCTTTCTCTGCATTAAAACAACCTAATGGCGTCGCATCAAACACACCTGACGTGGCGAATAATAAACTGCTAAAACACAGCAATAATCCCGGCACATGAAAGCTGGTGCAGGTAGGATGTGTTTTTATTTTGTAACAAAGAAGCTGTTTTCGTGACGATAACAGTCACGTCTATCAGACAGGCAGGTGATTGTGCTGGCCAGTCATACGTCAGCATTGAATCTGTTGTGTCGCTGCTGTCTTTAGGAGCAGAGAGAAAAGCTGACAGTTATCTCAGAATAAAAGCCCCTGAAGCACGAATTAAAAGAGGGGACCAAGAGATTAAGCTCTAATCTGGCATCCTTCAAGTTCTGCAGCCACTTTGACAGACGTGGGGGGTTCTATCAATATATCCAGATTGTTTCTTGTACCTGTGTGTGTGTGTGTGTGTGTGTGTGTGTGTGTGTGTGTGTGT